GTGTAAATGTATTTACTTTGAACCTTGCCACCACTCTCATTTGTATATACTATGAACCTTACCACCACTCTAATTTTGTAAGTGTATATACTATGAACCTTACCACCACTCTAATTTTGTAAATGTATATACTATGAACCTTGCCACGACTCTAATTCTGTATATGTATTTACTATAAACCTGGCCACCACTCGAATTTTGTAAATGTATTTACTATGAACCTGGCCACTACTCGAATTCTGTAAATGTATTTACTATGAACCTTGCCACCACTCTCATTTTGTAAATGTATATACTATGAACCTTGCCACCACTCTAATTTTGTAAATGTATTTACTATGAACCTTGCCACCACTCGAATTCTGTAAATGTATTTACTATGAACCTGGCCATCACTCTAATTCTGTAAATGTATTTATTATGAACCTTGCCACCACTCGAATTTTGTAAATGTATATACTATGAACCTTGCCACCGCTCTAATTTTGTAAATGTATATACTATGAACCTGGCCACCACTTTAATTTTGTAAAAGTATATTCTATGAACCTCGCCACCACTCTAAAGAGATAGTTATAGGTGTAAATGTATATACTATGAACCTTGCCACCACTCTAATCTTGTAAATGTATATACTATGAACCTTGCCACCCCTCTAATTTTGTAAATGTATATACTATGAACCTTGCCACGACTCTAATTCTGTAAATGTATATACTATGAACCTGGCCACCACTCTAATTCTGTAAATGTATTTACTATGGACATTGCCACCACTCTAATTTTGTAAATGTGTATACTATGAACCTTGCCACGACTCTAATTCTGTAAATGTATATACTATGAACCTGGGCATCACTCTAAAGAGATAGTTATTGGTGTAAATGTATATACTATGGACCTTGCCAGGACTCTAATTTTGTAAATGTATATACTATCAACCTTGCTACCACTCTAATTTTGTAAAAGTATATACTATGAACCTGGCCACCACTCTATAGAGATAGTTATAGGTGTAAATGTATTTACTATGAACCTGGACACCACTCTAAAGAGATAGTTATAGGTGTAAATGTATATACTATGAACCTGGCCACCACTCTAATTCTGTAAATGTATTTACTATGAACCTTGCCACCACTCTAATTTTGTAAATGTATATACTATGAACCTTGCCACGACTCTAATTCTGTAAATGTATATACTATGAACCTTGCCACCACTCTAATTTTGTAAATGTATATACTATGAACCTTGCCACGACTCTAATTCTGTAAATGTATATACTATGAACCTGGCCACCACTCTATAGAGATAGTTATAGGTGTAAATGTATTTACTATGAACCTGGCCACCACTCTAAAGAGATAGTTATAGGTGTAAATGTATATACCATAAACCTTGCCACCACTCTAATCCTGTAAATGTGTATACTATGGACCTTGCCACCACTCTAATCCTGTAAATGTGTATACTATGAACCTTGCCACCACTCTAATCCTGTAAATGTGTATACTATGAACCTTGCCACCACTCTAATCCTGTAAATGTGTATACTATGAACCTTGCCACCACTCTAATCCTGTAAATGTGTATACTATGAACCTTGCCACCACTCTAATCCTGTAAATGTGTATACTATGAACCTTGCCACCACTCTAATCCTGTAAATGTGTATACTATGAACCTTGCCACCACTCTAATCCTGTAAATGTGTATACTATGAACCTTGCCACCACTCTAATCCTGTAAATGTGTATACTATGAACCTTGCCACCACTCTAATCCTGTAAATGTGTATACTATGAACCTTGCCACCACTCTAATCCTGTAAATGTGTATACTATGAACCTTGCCACCACTCTAAAGAGATAGGTATAGACAATCCTCGGAGACTAAAAATGCAACCAGCACTGTCTATCACCTTGCTTCTTGAAAGTTAAACGTTTCACGTACACAGAGGTTATTTCACCTTTAAGATTCGGTAATTCAATTGTAGACACAAATGAACTACACTGCATAATCCCGCAGTTTTGTCCTTCTATTTCAGCACACATCGTTGATGCTAGTGACCAAACTTTGAAAAATCAAATTGTCTAAACAACTGTTAAAACAGTGAGAGGATCAGAAATGAGTTTGATGTGAAAGGAGAAAATAAGAAGGGATAAGTTCATAAAAGTGAAAAAAATGGAATTACGTTCATGTCCAAAGAATTGGAATGATAAACAAATGATAGTCTTTATGAGAAATTTAGAATGATATCCGTTGTGAATTAACTGGATCGGTAACCAATTTGAGGGAACAGTAATACTAATGTTGAAGGATCGTACTTATGTTCAATGAGAGTGGAGAATAATTATGTTTACTGTAAGAGGTTTAAAACAATTTCCAATGTGAGACGAATGGAATGATGCTCAGTGTTAGAGGAGTAGAATAGTGTTAAGTATGAGAGGAGCAAAATGATGTTCAATTTGATAAAAGGATAATGACGTTCAATGTCAGAGTATAATTATTAAATGTTAAATGTTAGAGGAGTAGAATGATATGCATTGTTAGAGGAGTAGAATGATATTCAATGTTAGAGGAGTAGAATGATATTCAATGTTAGAGGAGTAGAATGATGTTAAATGTGAGAGGAGTAGAATTATGTTCAATGTTAGAGGAGAAGAAGGATATTCAATGTTAGAGGAGTAGAATGATACTCAATGTTAGAGGAGTAGAATGTAGTTCAAGGTGAGAGGAGTAGAATGATGTTAAAAGTGAGAGGTATAGAATGATGTTAAATGTGAGAGGAGTAGAATGATGTTTAATGTGAGAGGAGAAGCATGAAGTTCAGTGGGAGCAGAGTAGGGTGATGTTAGATTGGAAAGGTGTAGAATTATGTTTAATGTGAGAGGAGAAGCATGATGTTCAGTGGGAGCAGAGTAGGGTAATGTTAGATTGGAGAGGTGTATAATGATGTTAAATGTGAGAGGAGAAGCGTGATGTTAAATGTGAGAGGAGAAGCATGATGTTCAGTGGGAGCAGAGTGGGTGATGATAGATTGGAGAGGTGTAGAATGATGTTTAATGTGAGAGGAGTAGAATGATGCTAAATGTGAGAGGAGAAGAGTGATGTTAAATGTGAGAGGAGAAGCATGATGTTCAGTGGGAGCAGAGTAGGGTGATGTTAGATTGGAGATGTGTAGAATGATGTTAAATGTGAGAGGAGAAGCATGATGTTCAGTGGGAGCAGAGTAGGGAGATGTTAGATTGGAGATGTGTAGAATGATGTTAAATGTGAGAGAAGAGGCATGATGTTCAGTGGGGGCAGAGTATGGTGATTTTAGATTGGAGAGGTGTAGAATGATGTTAAATGTGAGAGGAGAAGCATGATGTGCAGTGGGAGCAGAGTAGGGTGATGCTAGATTGGAGAGGTGTAGAATGATGTTTAATGTGAGAGGAGTAGAATGATGTTAAATGTGAGAAGAGAAGCATGATGTTCAGTGGGAGCAGTGTAGGGTGATGTTAGATTGGAGAGGTGTAGAATGATATTAAATGTGAGAGGAGAAGCGTGATGTTCAGTGGGAGCAGAGTAGGGTGATGTTAGATTGGAGATGTGTAGAATGATGTTAAATGTGAGAAGTGTAGAATGATGTTAAATGTGAGAGGAGAGTAGGGTGATGTTAGATTGGAGAGGTGTAGAATGATGTTAAATGTGAGAAGAGAAGCATGATGTTCAGTGGGAGCAGAGTAGGGTGATGTTAGATTGGAGAGGTGTAGAATGATGTTTAATGTGAGAGGAGAATCATGATGTTCAGTGGGAGCAGGGTAGGGTGATGTTAGATTGGAGAGGTGTAGAATGATGTTTAATGTGAGAGGAGAGTAGGGTGATGTTAGATTGGAGAGGTGTAGAATGATGTTAAATATGAGAGGTGTAGAATGATGTTAAATGTGAGAGGAGAGTAGGGTATTGTTAGATTGGAGAGGTGTAGAATGATTTTAAATGTGAGAGGAGAAGCGTGATGTTCAGTTGGAGCAGAGTAGGGTGATGTTAGATTGGAGAGGTGTAGAATGATGTTTAATGTGAGAGGAGTAGAATGATGTTAAATGTGAGAGGGGAGTAGGGTATTGTTAGATTGGAGAGGGGTAGAATGATGTTTAATGTGAGAGCAGAGTAGGGTGATGTTAGATTCGAGAGGTGTAGAATGATGTTAAATGTGAGAGGGGAGTAGGGTATTGTTAGATTGGAGAGGTGTTGAATGATTTTAAATGTGAGAGGAGAAGCGAGATGTTCAGTGGGAGCAGGGTAGGGGGATGTTAGATTGGAGAGGGGTAGAATGATGTTAAATATGAGAGGTGTAGAATGATTTTAAATGTGAGAGGAGAAGCGAGATGTTCAGTGGGAGCAGGGTAGGGTGATGTTAGATTGGAGATGTGTAGAATGATGTTAAATGTGAGAGGGGAGTAGGGTATTGTTAGATTGGAGAGGTGTAGAATGATGTTAAATGTGAGAGGAGAAGCGTGATGTTCAGTGGGAGCAGGGTAGGGGGATGTTAGATTGGAGAAGAGCGGAATATTTGACTGGAGCAGATGGGTGTACTAGAAGGACGTATGGTGAAGTGTTATACATTTTCTCTAACCAAATTTTAAAGGTACAAACACTTTTTGGTGTCTTAGGTTCATCTTTTATCATGAGAAGAGTAGAATTATGTTGAATATGCGTAATGAAGAATGGGATATGAGGGAGTTAACTGATATTCCAGGTGAGGGGACATACAGGGTGTTTACGGTAAGGGGAGAAGAAGAGCGAGAAAGCGTAAAAATATCACAGATATAGCCATTCTAGCACATGTATATACATATCATATAGGTTATACAAGGCTTTTGTTCAATTTAGATTTTGAACACTTATAAGGAGAAAAGAGAAGGGATATAGATACCAAATATGCATATTTATATAAACATTACTTGTAATTGTGAAAAAATAAAGACATCAACACATCCATTTATTTTAACCATTTAATGGATTTGAGATAGCATTGGGTACTGTACATATAAAAATAAATATATAATCGTAAAAATACATATAATTTCATAATGAACATTGAACGTGATGATAACAAAGTTAATCCCGAGTCCCAGTACATGTTCATTGTGTTTGTTTTAAACCAACAATAACATACTCGCGTACAACTCAGGATCTCGAAATATTGCGCATGCGTTGTAATCGATATAATGAATAGAGGGCCAGCCTCGTGTATCATGAAATGTGAAATCGTGGACTTAAAACGATGACGATGAAATGTCATTTCCATATCATCTCATCCAAATTTGCATAAAGCCACAATGACAAACATTGAACCAGCTTATCACTACTACGGGTTTACCATATAAGGTCACTCGTTTTGCATAAGGTCATTAACAATTTGCATATTCTTATATAAAGACATTTTCGGTATCGGTAAGAAATTACTGGTAAATTGAATATTGTTTCGCGCTTGTCGAACAGACAAACTGGGCAGACATTATATGAAAAGTGATCGGAAAAAATGTCACAGAGTGTCCAAAAGAATGATAAGAGCCATATATATATAGCTGTCACGACACAGCTCCAAAGTCGCCGGAATATGTGGCCGAGAGATTTAATAAGTCTGTGTCTGAGGGATGTCCTGGCACCCACACTTTAGCACACTGTTTGTTATCTACAGTTCGCACGGGGTTTTGATCCACATGGTCCCATGATAAGGAGTGTCCCATGTACTCCATGGCACCGTCAGGAGAGCTGGCATAATCTACAATAACAAGATAAGAAAATTCTGTTATAAGTCGGCAGATTTTAAAATGACCGTTCAAATGTTCCAGCATACACTTTTTAAGAGAACATATTGTTTTCTGGTTTCAACAAGTAAATGTATATAAATTGTAAGACATTGTTTTATATCGTAGCGTTATCTTATCACTTAGTCGAGTTGATGAATTTGAAAGTCACTTGTTTAGATTTATTTTTTAATGGTGATCTTTTCTGTATTTTTTAAGAATCCCTGTCCCCCTGAGAGTGATAGTATAACAATATTAAGTCAAAGGTTCGACTCGCGATCTAAACCCCACTGAATGTGTAGACTCAGAGCGATCTAAACCCCACTGAATGTGTAGGCTCAGAGCGATCTAGACCCCACTGAATTTGTAGACTCAGAGCGATCTAAACCCCACTGAATGTGTAGACTCAGAGTGATCTAAACCCCACTGAATGTGTAGACTCAGAGCGATCTAAACCCCACTGAAAGTGTAGACTCAGAACACAGTTGTTTATTTATTTCATCTTTATTTTTATTTTTTAATGAAAGTCCCGCAAGGTATCTGTTTCTTTTCAGAAATGATTTATTAAAGCTATAGTCATGCCGGAAAAGTCGGTTCTAATGCGTGGTTACAGATCTTTGGCGGTGGTAGGGGGATCTTTGGCGGTGGTAGGGGGATCCTGAATGCCGTTTCTATATTGTGCAAGCATTATTGAGCTTGTTCCAGCCGAGATTCGTTTCGTAAATATCCAGGAGGACGTTTTCTTATGCTGTCTATGTATTCATGAAACCGTTCTCATGCTCAAGCATGGCTTTCGTGCTCAAGCCTTATTTCTTATTATGTTTATAAATTAATAGTACAATCTTATTTCGTCAATGATTTGAAAAGAGAAAAACACTTAATGCTGAATACTTTTTTGAAAAATTACATTTGATTTTTTTTATCACTTGACATGATTTAAGTGAGTTACAAGAAAGTTGGTTTGAGCACTAAATCCATGCTTGAGCATGAGAACAGTTTCATGAATACGGGCCCAGGTACGTCGGTCCCCAGATTTGACAGGGAACTAGCCTCAGCAATCGTTTTCGAGGAATTTATAGGGGTACAACAAGAATCAAAATGTCGCTTGAGTGGAATTTAGAAAGTTACAACCTGAGTAAGAAATGTCGCTTGAGAATAATGCAATCGATTTGTTGTTTGTGCGTTTGCTTCAATGGTAGTACAGCTATCCAGCAGACGAAACGCAATGGGAAACTAACATACCATGATACAATTGCGTATAAATGCAACAATTCAGGTCATTAGAAAATATCAACATGGCGATGGAAAAAATCCGGAACTAATGTATAAATAAACATAACATAGACCGGTAATTTCTAAATTGTAACACGGACTCTTGTAAGGAAACCGGATATTGTTGTTAATGAATATCCTCTCTACACGGGTATTACCAATTATACAGCAACTCAATGCTCAACAGTGAGTTCGAGAGCTTATGTAAACACTTATCATGTGGAATATTTAAATTGAGAACAAGCCATAGAGATCGGTGGTATGATAAAATCGATACATTAGGACGGTTTGTTGATATACGGTTCTCAAACATCGTTTCAAGTAAGGCGTTTTCTCCTTTCGGTCCACACGTTCAAACAAAATCGATTGTCTATGAACACTTCAAATATCAATATGTATTAACGCCCAAATGTGTAAAACGGTATTCAAAGCTATGACAAAAAAAAACAATAATACAATTCAACTTGGATCTATCGTATTTCAGCATTATTAAAATATTTATTTTTGAATTTTGAAAATGAATGTAATGCATTTTAAAAATGAATAGAAAAGTTCGTTAAACTGTTATTTTGTGTGTGTTTTACTAAAGACCGGTACTTATAAGTCATACCGCCGCGGAATGAATGCTAAATAAATCCTAGATCATTCCGTATTCCGACTTCGTTTTTTCAGTTATGGTGATAGACAATGATGGCGCGTGGCACTCGTGTGCCAGGCATAAACAAACGATAACACGTGACCAGAAAACCCAATCCTGTTCGTCAAGATTGTTAGCTTATCAGCTTAAGAAAGGTTTGCTGTATATAGCTATTGCGTACAATAGGCAGTTGTTGACACAAGTTCGGCTCGAAGTTACATTCTTTATTGAACAGTATTTCTAGGTTTGACGCTGTTGTTACATGTACATTCATGAGATATGTATCTTGCTATTTGTTAAAATACCAGTGATCGACACTGATACTGCCACGCTGATAACTTAGACTTCATATCAAACAAAACATATTACTGGCCTTGGTAAATAAATTCGACGCTGCGCACCAGGGACCGTACTCGTGAAAAACTTAGCATGCTCAAATTCAGATTCTCTGCTCAAGTCTAGTTTTTTTGTTTCGGCGATGAATTAATAAAAATATCACACCTTGTCAATAACCTGCAAGAAGTTTGAAGAGATTGGAAGCTGACTGTCGTTTTCGAAGTTTCTACTTCACGGTTTGATCGTTCTACATGATTAAAACACGGAATACCTGTTTGAGCAGGATAACAGTTGCATGAATACAGGCTCAGATTTAGAGATACATTTCATGATTCATTTAGAAAAATCGCATACATTCCGATTTAGTTTTACTTTTAGATTAAGTGCAACGTTTATCTTTTGAGCAATTTTACCATATTTTGTTAAAATCGAGTATATATGGAGTATAAATGTAAAATTCAAAAACTTCAGTTCAAAATATTGCTATCAACTAGATGTGTTTTACATTTTATTATTATTTATAGATTATGTCGATAACATACTCTCTCATGTTCAAACAGTAAAGTAAAGCACCAAGTACGGCATAAAAAAAACCTACAGAATGTCATTATATTACCATCATCAGAAAACTAACTAGAACAAAACTTACCATCAAAATGACAGCGAACGATGACCTTCTCTTGTGGTCGGTTAGATTTGGAGTACTGACTGTCTTGAGAATATTCACTGCTGGTTTCAACCATGTCCGCAAGATAACCTATATATCTAATAGCTAATTTCAAAGTGTCCACTTTCGACAATCTCCTGTCAGCATTGACGCTGGTAGGGATACTTTCTCTAAGAATGTCAAAGGCATCATTGATAGATTTCATGCGTCTTCGTTCTCGTTGGTTTGCTGCTGAGCGCTGCTGAATTTTCCTTCCGGGGCGCTTGCCATTTTTTGTCCGTGGCGGATGTTCCAAACTGAAACTTTCCGTGTCCGATTCATTCGTAGAACAAGGCGATTCTAAACTATCCGCATAGTCTACAGTCGGATCATAAAAGTCCAAAAAGTCGTCTTCGATACCGTATAAATACGTATCCATCTCCATATTTGTAATTGCTTTTTGTCTTTTCTATAATTTTAGTATAGAAACACACTCGTAAATATTTGCCGAGTCGATGATATCTGAATTCGATATTAACAGACGGACACACTTACTGTCATATCCGCTCGTGCCCTTAGTGCAACAAGGAGTTAAAATATCGATAGCAGGCACCGAGAGTTCATTATATCTCTAACGCTGTCAACAGTTCACACGTGGCTACCGGTCCAGACAGCCAATCAAAACCGAGGCGCGTGTTAGAGTTGACATGGGTATACTATCTACCTGTAAACCCGCTACCTAAATACAGTTAGCTTTAATAGTTCGTGTGCGATATGTCAAATCCATTTAAATCGATCAATTTAAATGCAAGGCCCCGCCTACTGGTGTTTTGGTTGGTAATAACGTTTACAGGGGGCTTTAAAGCGCAGGTAAATCTTCGCCCGTACTGATAAACCCCTCCCACCTGTATGTCAGCTTTGAATTAAGATATGGATGGTTGATACTACAGAGGTTGACAACAGTTTTAACGGGTACTTAGACAAGACATCGCGCTGTTACATGTGACAGGGCACCGTTATATTTAGAGGGATAACGCCAAGGTGTGGTCTCACCCGTATGTACATATACATGTAGTACTACAATGCACTGTGTAGATTATAAATGACGCGTGCCTACATTTGGGCGCGTGGCCTTATCTCTACATTTCTTATCATAGGATTTAACACAGAACGGTCGTGTCACAATATAGATAGTCTAGGACACAAATACACAGACAAACAAAAAGTCAGATGCATTGAGCCCGTTGAAACTAAACCAGATTCACTCACATCTGTATATGCCAATATTTGCCAGTATAAATGAAACCAGAATTATTGTTTTATTTTTCCTAACTTTTCACATCAGACACGTATTGTAATTGTCCAATTTTTTGAATTCGTATTCAATAGATATAACTGCAATAAGATTGTACAGTGAAAATTATTATCTTTGTGATTTAAGTAGGTATTTCGTATATTTTTCATTTTATTTCAAGAATACATGTATCGGATTTCAAAGATTAAAAGATTTAGCTTTTTAACATTTTAAATACCATTACATCGATACCGCGATACCGAGACATTGTGTAATTTCACAAACCACTTTAATTGGTTTGAAACGAGACTTTAACAGAACACTATTACTTCTAATATTGAGAAATGAAATTGCATGCTTAAACTACAAACAACATTTTAACCAAAATATGATCTATTTATTCAACAAATTGAGACAGAAAAAAGACAGGTACAATATAAGAGTTTCTTACACGGAATAAACTATATTTGCACGCCACGTATGTAATTATACAAACGGAATATGATATATACATCTATATACACCACGTACACATTGTATGAATGTGTACAAGCGGAACATATAATACGTCAAAGAGCAGCAGTATTTACTTCTGAATATAGCGCTACTGGTGCTAGTGTTAAAAATATGCTACAACTTTAATTTGTAAACCAGTGTCATCCATACAGTGGACGAGAACAACATGCAAAAGTGAAAATACTGTATGTGGTACACTTTGTATGTTTAAATGATAGCTTTACGACAACTATACGTAGTTTTGAACGAATCCTGTTATGCTTTGTTATTCTCAGCTGCTGTGTGTTGCCCAAACTGTATAGACTACGTACATGCGTGATTCTCATTTTGTTCATCTTCCGTAAAAATTTAGATAAAAAACACTCTTCTTTTTTTCAAAACGCTACCATATAACATTGTGCTACTTGGGGTTTTTTTTCTTCATTTTCTCTGACAATTTCAAAAGTCAACCCATTGTTAAATCCCAACTAATATGTTTTGAGGGGAATCAAATGGAGCTGTCTCCTATTTACTGCGGGCTGGAAGTCAACGCTAGGCAACAGTTACAGACACACACTTTTAAAAAACAGACAATATGCATGGTTTGTGAAATTCTTAAGATTCGTGAATATTACATATTTTATCAGACAACCCGACTCGCACGGAAAGTGTGGCGCCTTAAAGGGTCTCTTGAATTAGTCTCCCATGCGTATACCTAGGTCAAGTGAAGAAGGTTATAAATCTATCGTCTTAGCTTCTGACAATGCCAACGGTACTGTCAATTTGTTCACGTTGTCAGACAGGGGGCGATTATATGAACGGTGTTTTTCAGAAAGTTTGTTTTCTCAATTGTTCATTGAGTGTCCTTATCCGCGCTTTATAAGTCATTATACATGTAAAACACCTCTCGTTGTATGTTTGGAAAGGAAAATGGGCGGAGGTTGGGAGAGGGAAGGGGGAGGGGAAGGATCAAGGGTTTCGCCTGTTGTAAATGTCATATCATTTGTATTATCAGACGGGTATTTGATCGTGACAAATTGATTTAGTCAACAGAATGACGTCCCGATATGTTTTGTTATATTACAAAAATTGTCAAACACATGCTTAAATTAAAAAAATAATAAACGTTTTATTCCCCCTAAAATCATTAACACTTAATTTCCAAAGGGAAAATATGCATTATCTATTTAAGTTTTCTGTTGATAACCCATATACAGTAACAAAAACATAATTACATTTCTAATAATCACCAGAAATACCAAAATCAACCCAAAAGTCCGATATACACATCAAGTACGTATACTATATGTGCATGTATGTGTATTATACCAATTACAAATATATTTCTTTGTCCATGCCCATGTTCCACTCCACCTGTACCACCTATGTGGATTGTTATTATGTAATGCACAAAGGCATTTTTGTCTATTGCTTAATAAAATATATGTAATAAATATAAACAAGATTTTAAAAAAGCCCACATTAAACCATTAAAACAGTTCCACATTACAAAGCTGAAAGATACTTTGGTTGGGATAAGACACGGGTAGGCGCTAATCCCTTTTCAATATCAGATTTAAAATCAACATAAAGCATAATTAACGTTTTGTTACTGTTGGGGATATATTGTTACGATTGGGGATAGTTTGCTACTGTTGGGGATCGTTTGTTAGTGTTGGGGATAGTTTGTTACTGTTGGGGATAGATTGTAACTGTTGGGGATCGTTTGTTACTGTTGGGGATAAGTTGTTACTGTTGGGGATAGATTGTTACTGTTGGGGATAGTTTGTTACTGTTGGGGATAAATTGTTGCTGTTGGGGATAGATTGTTACGGTTGGGGATATATTGTAACTGTTGGGGATAGTTTGTTACTGTTGGGGATATTTTGTTACTTTTGGGGATATATTGTTACTGTTGGGTATAGTTTGTTACTGTTGGGGATAAGTTGTTACTGTTGGGGATAAAATGTTACTGTTGGGGATATATTGTTACTGTTGGGGATAGATTGTTACGGTTGGGGATATATTGTAACTATTGGGAATAGTTTGTTACTGTTTGGGATCGTTTGTTACTGTAGGGGATAGTTTGTTACTGTTGGGGATAAATTGTTACTGTTGGGGATTGATTGTTACGGTTGGGGATATATTGTAACTGTTGGGGATAGTTTGTTACTGTTGGGGGTAAATTGTTACTGTTGGGGATCGATTGTTACTGTTGGGGATAGGTTGTTACTGTTGGGGATAGATTGTTACTGTTGGGGATCGGTTGTTACTGTTGGGGATAGGTTGTTACTGTTGGGGATAGATTGTTACGGTTGGGGATATATTGTAACTATTGGGAATAGTTTGTTACTGTTTGGGATAGTTTGTAACTGTTGGGGATCGTTTGTTACTGTCTGGGAAAGATTGTTACTGTTGGGGATAGTTTTTTACTGTTGGGGATAGATTGTTACTGTTGGGGATCGTTTGTTACTGTTGGGGATAAGTTGTTATTGTTGGGGATAGTTTGTTACTGTTGGGGATAAGTTGTTACTGTTGGGGATAGATTGTTACTGTTGGGGATAGTTTGTTAATGTTTAGGATAAATTGTTACTGTTGGGGATATATTGTTACTGTTGGGGATCGTTTGTTATACTGTTGGGGATAAATTGTTACTGTTGGAGATAGATTGTTACGGTTGGGGATAGATTGTAACTATTGGGAATAGTTTGTTACTGTTTGGGATCGTTTGTTACTGTTGGGGATAGTTTGTTACTGTTGGGGATAAATTGTTACTGTTGGGGATAAATTGTTACGGTTGGGGATAGTTTGTAACTGTTGGGGATCGTTTGTTACTGTCTGGGAAAGATTGTTACTGTTGGGGAATAGTTTGTTACTGTTGGGGATAGATTGTTACTGTTGGGGATCGTATGTTACTGTTGGGGATAAATTGTTACTGTTGGGGATAGATTGTTACTGTTGGGGATAGATTGTTACTGTTGGGGATAGTTTGTTACTGTTGGGGATAAATTGTTACTGTTGGGGATAGATTGTTACTGTTGGGGATAGATTGTTACTGTTGGGGATAGATTGTTACTGTTGGGGATAGATTGTTACTGTTGGGGATAGTTTGTTACTGTTGGGGATAAATTGTTACTGTTGGGGATAGATTGTTACTGTTGGGGATAGATTGTTACTGTTGGGGATATATTGTTACTGTTGGGGATATATTGTTACTGTTGGGGATAGTTTGTTACTGTTTGGGATAAATTGTTACTGTTGGGGATATATTGTTACTGTTGGGGATCGTTTGTTATACTGTTGGGGAAAAATTGTTACTGTTGGGGATAGCTTGTTACGGTTGGGGATAGTTTGTTATACTGTTGGGGATAGATTGTCACTGTTGGGGATCGTATGTTACTGTTGGGGATAAATTGTTACTGTTGGTGATAGATTGTTACTGTTGGGGATATATTGTTACTGTTGTGGATTGTTTGTTACTGTTGGGGATAAATTGTTACTGTTGGTGATAGATTGTTACTGTTGGGGATATATTGTTACTGTTGGGGATCGTTTGTTACTGTTGGGGATAAATTGTTCCTGTTGGAGATATATTGTTACTGTTGGGGATATATTGTTGCTGTTGGGGATCGTTTGTTACTGTTGGGGATAAATTGTTACTGTTGGAGATAGATTGTTAGTGTTGGGGATAGTTTGTTATACTGTTGAGGATAGTTTGTTACTGTTGGGGATAGATTGTTAGTGTTGGGGATAGTTTGTTATTGTTGGGGATAGTTTGTTACTGTTGGGGATAGATTGTTACTGTTGGAGATCGATTGTTACTGTTGGGGATATATT